GGTTGAGCGATAGTTGGTGTTTGCGGCTTGACTATTCTCTTTTCGCCCGTGATTGTTTGCGTTATTAATTCGACGTTAATATCTGAATTTATACCTGTTTTTTGTTGTTCGGTAGCGATAACAATTTTATTATTATAGCCTATCACTTGACCAATCTTAAGTTCCATATTACTCGGAGACATGTATAGTCCCGGCGCATAAACGTAGTCCACTTTGGATTGACGATGGTATGTCAACTGGTGAATTAATGGCGTCCTCCACGTTTGCGACAAACTGTTTTTGTGCATCGAACGCTGTCCCAGTACTGATAATGGACGTTCGTGTTTGCGATTGTGCACCGAGAATTGCCCATACATAAGTTCTTATCGATTCATTAACTCTTTCAAATCCTGGGTTAGTAAAATTATTTTCCGTTTTATCATTAAGAAATTCATTCCAAGCATCTGTTGTGTCGTTTGGATGCACAAACTTTGTTATAATATAAGGAATGCCACTATCAAAGTTCATACGATCTGCTCTAAACTGTTTACTCGAGAGAGCAAAGCCTGAAGGGATCACACCCGCTTTAATTAAATAATCGCTTTTATCTTTAATAGTTCTTTGTCCATTGTACGGAATACCTAGACCATGACTAGGTCCTTTCATGCGCCAATCTTTACTCGTAGAAACATCAAATTCATTACAAATACGTTCGAAGGCCCTCTTATTATAATGATTATTTGCGTGATTCCATGCTGGATCCAGCGGTAATGGAGCACTAATTTCTTTAAGTATACGTCTTATCTGATAGTACACGTGAAATAATATAACAGACTTATATAGTTTAAATCCTGGGGCATTAACAGATACGCCACATCCCGTTGTGGCACACCATACGGCAAAGTTTAACTGATTCTGCCAAAATTGCATCGGACGGTTAAACCAATCGTCCACCATTGTATCATTAGTTGCCGTGAAACTGTATTTTTAAAAGATATCGTGGAATTTAACGATAAATTCAGCACCAGAGGCAGTTACTATAATCGACTGATTAGTAATGTGTCTTGATTTCATATTTAAGTTATGATATAGTATCATTGTATATTTAATATGTATGTTACACTCCCGGGAATAACAAATGGTCAGTCTATTGAACTGCTTCATACTATCGATAACTCAGATGGTCAACTCGAAGTCGCCCTATGCGATGTAACGTATTACCCACGGTGGACCAATATAAATGCTGCGAGGGGTTATAATAATGATGGGTATTACAGCGTATGCTCACTCAATGATGAATTTTTTAAGCCTAATGGAGTTAGTCTAACACAAAATGAGTCGAATGGGTTACTGATTTTAAACGCTGGAAAAAAGGATGTAAAGCATTACGAGAACTTAGCATACACACTTGGATGGAGAGGAGAAATAACAGTACTCAAGACATCAGATCAGGGACTCGATTTACCTGATTTAGTTCCCTAGAAAGAGTTGTGCATCCATCTTGATCAGATCAGTACGACGGATAATATTCAACAAGAAAGTCCTTCAACTCTACTCAGATGTGTTCCAGTTAAAGATGAAAAATACAATAGTGGCAGAACGGAATCTTTCTCACCATTACAATATAAAAAATTAAAGCGGGGTATTATTTCAGACCTCAAAATTTCTGTATTAGATGTAAAACACCAACCTGTACATATAGGATACTTAAGTGTAACACTCCATATTATAAATAATGGTTGATTCCATATTTAAGTTATGATATAGTATCATTGTATATTTGATATGTATATTACACTCCTGGGAATAACAAATGGTCAGTCTATTCAACTGCTTCGTACTATCGATAACTCGGATGGACAACTCGAAGTCGCCCTATGCGATGTAACGTATTACCCGCTGTGGACCAATATAAATGCTGCAAAAGATAATAATAGGATAATGCTAGTATCTCCATTTGGTATTATCAAATCCATTACTATACCTGATGGGTATTACAGCCTAAGCTCACTCAATGATGAAATTTTTAAGCCTAATGGAATTAGTCTCACAGAAAATGAGGCGACTGGGACAGTGAAATTTGACAATGAAGAATCAAATATAGTTTTTTTGGACCCATCAGCTACACTTGGATTTATACGCTTAATTGATCAGGAGGTTAAATTACCCGATTTAGTTCCCTATAAAGAGTTGTGTATCCATCTTGATCAAATCAGTACGACGGATAATATTCAACTAGAAAGTCCTTCAACTCTGCTCAGATCTGTTCCAGTGAAAAATGAAAAGTATATAGCGGTAGAACGGAATCTTTCTCGTCATTACAATATAAAAAATTAAAGCGTGGTATTATTTCAGACCTCAAAATTTCTGTGTTAAATGTAAAACACCAACCAGTACATATAGGATACTTAAGTGTAACACTCCATATTAAAAATAATGGTTGATGCATCAGGCCCTGGAACGCTCACACAATGTAATACAATTGCGCTTTCCGATTTGATCTCGGAGACACAGAAGGATTCGATAAACTCGGTACCAATGGTAAGTTATACACTTTACACTTACACGATAATGTATACAAGCGGAAAGAAGTCACATTCAGGGGTAATCTAGAAGATTTAAGCGATGTCGACGATAGTAGACTCCTTAAAAACACTTCGTACAATATTATTCGCAACGCCGATAATAAATGGACTATGGTCGAAGCAAACATTGAGTGGCTACTGAATATCGTCATTACCCCACCTTATGCGATGATAGGTAAGGGACATAATTTAACTAAGATAATAAATAGTGGCATCGTACTCGCGGCTTATATCCCATCAAAACGAAAAAGCGTGTTAGTCACTTTTCAGCCAGAAGACCCAGGTCATATGTTATATAGTCGTCAGGCCTTAAAAAATGTTAGTTTAAATTTGGTTACTGAATTCGATGATATTAAAGTTAACCTGAGTGCAATACCTAATACTTCTATGCTTATTATTGAAGTCTTGTTCGGAGATGCACCGGTAGATGCCTTCGAAATATTACCAGGTCTATCCATTAAATGGCTCAAGAAACACCAACGTCAACGTTGCAGTATTATTCATATCGGAGCATCGCCCGTTGCAACCCTCGAGGGGGGTCCAAATTATTAAAAGTGGAAGTATTTCTCTTACTAAGATATTCTTGCCGTATAATATACATTTGATAAGATTGATGTATACTCTCAATACATTTAAGCAAGACCAATTAAAGACTATTATATAACCGTAATATACACTATGAGTTTATATCCGGCGCTGGATGAAGCAATTGAAAAGATGGAAACTATTGATGGATTTCGATTACATCTAATAAGCGACATAAAACATCGAATAGAGAAGGATAGAGAGTTGAGACTTGGATTGTATAAAAAGTATCGCAGAGCCGTGAATGCTCTCGACGGAGTTGACACCGTGCTTGTAGCAGCTGGCATGGGACTCGGTGTAGCGGGTGTCGGTTTACTTTCAACTATAATCGCCGCGCCAATCGTGCTCGGCATGGAAATAGCAGCTGGAGTCTCGGGACTGGCAAGAATAGCGATAAAATTCATTTCTCGTAGATTACAAAAGAAAGCATTAAAACACGATAGTTTTCGGATACTCGCCGAAGCAAAGTTGAACAGCATTGAGGATCATATTTCAACAGCAATGGTCGATTGTAAGATATCCGAGGATGAGTTTCGTTTAGTGTTGTCAGAACTCACCAAATACAATGCAATGAAGCAGGAGATTCGATCAAAATCTCATAAGACCAGTGGTATTAGCTAAGACGAGAAAAAAAAGTTCATAGAACAGGGGAGGCAACAAACGCGTCAGTTATTCCGTGCCAAAACCAAAGAACTGGTTGGAGATTAAAAATAGATTGCTTACTATCGTTTGATCACATTTAGACAAATGCTTACATACATATATAATAATGGAGAATTACAACACAACAATCGAAAAAGCTATTAAATGGAGAGAATTACCACAAGGTTTTTATTATATCAGTGATGTCAAACCAACCAAATACGGTTATCAATTGTTTCTTATCAATTTACAGGAAGAGTGTAGTTATACAGTCTGGTCTCCTAGTAAAATGAACGAAGAACTTAATAAAAATGTTGAAATATCGCTTTATCGATAAAAATAATGAAGAATATTTTTATTACCATTTAGGCTCATCTAAAGCAATGATTGGCCCCAGGTATTGGTGAGCTAGACCCAATTTAACTTAATCTCATGACTATCATTGAATCTCATAATCATTTTGGCATAAAAAATGCCACCTGTAGTAGCAGTATAGGTATATAAATCCGGCTCCAGTGGAAGTGGTCCAGAACCCCTATTACCTATACTACTAACCTTCCTGTGATAACGAATGAAAAAGTGAAGTTTCCTGCCAGTTACAAAGTCCTAATGTTTTGCGACTGGTTAACAGCCTCACATGTGTTCTTGTATCTGCTACAAGCCTTACTTGTGTTTTTGTGTTTGTAAAAAGCCTTACTTGTGTTTTTGCTCTGTTACAAGCCTTGCTTGCCTTTCGTGTCAGTTACAAGCCTTGCTTGCCTTTCGTGTATATCACAGGCCTAAATTGCCTGACTTGTGATTTCTCTGTTAAAAAGTCCACCCTGTGTCTGGTGCGTTACAAGGGCTTACTTGTGTTTTTATGCCTGTTGCAAGCCATACTTGCGTTAATGTTTCGGTCAAAAAAACTTGCGTGTGTTTTAGTGCCTGTTACAATCCTTAGTTGTGTTTTAGTGCCTGTTACAACCCTTACTTGTGTTTTAGTGCCTGTTGCAATCCTTACCTCGGTTTTAGTGCCTGTTACAATCCTTAGTTGTGTTTTAGTGCCTGTTACAATCCTTAGTTGTGTTTTAGTGCCTGTTACAACCCTTACTTGTGTTTTAGTGCCTGTTGCAATCCTTACCTCGGTTTTAGTGCCTGTTACAATCCTTAGTTGTGTTTTAGTGCCTGTTACAATCCTTACTTGTGCTTTGTGCCTGTTACAATCCTTACATGTGTTTTGTGTCGGCTCCGTGGAGAAGAAGTAACTGTACGGTGTCCTTGTGTCTCCCCTGAGCGGCCAGGTGGAGGGGGGTGTTTCCGCCCTGATCCTCGGCAAACACGGCGTTCCCGCTCCCCTTCACTATTACCTCCGCGGACCTGTTCATCGACAACTTAGTGTTACAAATATCTGATAAGTTTAATGTTATATCAACTATTTCTGCTCTGTCCACTTTCACAATCGTTGTCATTAAATATAGAATGGACGAGGACCCTTTCTTGCCACTGGAGATGTTAAATCTTAAAATTACGATGAATTTGAAGAATTGGTATAATCCTCAATTGTATGAACACAGATAACTTTCAATACGATTTCTAATGGTTTTGCTCCTTCCTTATTATAATAATTGTCAGATTTTGTAAGCAAAATTGTTTGGCCATAATATGTTCGCTGATACACAGACATGTAACGTATGGTGCTACGTACCTAGTGTTTCCCTTGATGGCAGCCAGATGTAGCGCTGTTCTCTCCGAATTATTCTTTCGGTTTGGGACCACGGAATAATTTCTCAAGATGCACTGGAGTATAAAAACAAGGAACAGCGTACCGAACAGGGTATGGTGTTCAACTCATACCGAACCACAACTACTCCAGTAGACAAAGCATCTGGTGGAAAGAACAGATGAAATATAACCAGCAACGCCGCCCCGTGAACGGATATAAATGGCTAAATATGCTTTAAAACAACAACAGGTAAACCTACCAGACGCGGTGTCCAGGTGTACAACAGAGGCAGTGTCTAGCTTTGAGAGCAACAGGTAAACCTACCAGACGCGGTGTCTAGTTGTACAACAGAGGCAGCGTCTAGCTTCGAGAGCACCTGTTACATCCACCAGACGCGGTGTCCAGGTGTACAACAGAGGCAGTGTCTAGCTTCGAGAGCACCTGTTACATCCACCAGACGCGGTGTCCAGGTGTACAACAGAGGCAGTGTCTAGCTTCGAGAGCAACTGTTACATCCACCAGACACGGTGTCCAGGTGTACAACAGAGGCAGTGTCTAGCTTCTAGAGCACCTGTTACATCCACCAGACGCGGTGTCCAGGTGTACAACAGAGGCAGTGTCTAGCTTCGAGAGCACCTGTTACATCCACCAGACGCGGTGTCCAGGTGTACAACAGAGGCAGTGTCTAGCTTCGAGAGCAACTGTTACATCCACCAGACACGGTGTCCAGGTGTACAACAGAGGCAGTGTCTAGCTTCGAGAGCACCTGTTACATCCACCAGACGCGGTGTCAAGGTGTACAACAGAGGCAGTGTCTAGCTTCGAGAGCACCTGTTACATCCACCAGACACGGTGTCCAGGTGTACAACAGAGGCAGTGTCTAGCTTCGAGAGCACCTGTTACATCCACCAGACGCGGTGTCCAGGTGTACAACAGAGGCAGTGTCTAGCTTCTAGAGCAACTGTTCCATCCACCAGACGCGGTGTCCAGGTGTACAACAGAGGCAGTGTCTAGCTTCGAGAGCACCTGTTACATCCACCAGACGCGGTGTCCAGGTGTACAACAGAGGCAGTGTCTAGCTTCGAGAGCACCTGTTACATCCACCAGACACGGTGTCCAGGTGTACAACAGAGGCAGTGTCTAGCTTCGAGAGCACCTGTTACATCCACCAGACACGGTGTCCAGGTGTACAACAGAGGCAGTGTCTAGCTTCGAGAGCACCTGTTCCATCCACCAGACACGGTGTCTCGTAGAGCAGAGACATTGTCTATGGAGGTACAGGAATGAGTTTTTTACCCAGGTGGTGAAGATACAGGTGGTAAGATACTAAATCCGTACGTCACACGTGTGTCGTACAAGGTTGACCTCGTTTTATTCGTTTTGATTGGATAACCCTAACCTCTGTCATACTGGAACTACTTTTTTCATTCATAAAAAAATCGCGAGACGTCATTCGCTTTTTCAACTTTAAGGCAGAACTAAAGGAATCTTACGAAACCGAGAGACATTTACACGCACTTTATTAAACCGAACGAGATCGTCACACGCATTAAATTCGCTTTGCATTCTATTTTAGTTATGCACAGAGCTACTGCAGACATAATATAATCGAGCCATGCATATCCATATGCAATGTCTACCGATTGATCGAGGGTCCAAAATGAGCGTGACGCGCCCGGTGGTGACCTTGCCCTTCGTTCGAAGCTGTCACTAACATGCAAGCAGACTTGAGTTTGTTGATTTTCGCGTCTTCAGTATAGGGTGGTACAGTTAACATGAATGTCTTTGTCGAACACTCTTATTTCCCTCTTCCAAAATGGTACGGACAGGATATAAATTCAGCTAATAGATTAAGAAAACTGAACCATTTTGATTGCGCAGACGGGACCCCGGCAGTGCGAGTGACCGGCCGTTGGTCTGATATTCATAGTGAGTGAGTGAGTGAGTGAGTTGGGTTTAACGCCGCTTTTAACAATATTCCAGTTATATAACGGCGTGTCAGCTTAATGTGGGAGGAAAGCCCGAAGTGATGCAGGTCTCAGACGTTTACCACTTCGGTGAAACCCACGAGCACGGGTATGGTGCTGACAAACCTAGAAACATAATTGGGGCGAACCGGGATTCGAACCCACAATCATAGGTTTCTGGCGTGCCCAAGGGACGCAACTCTGCACAGCGAATCGCGGCGCCTTAGACGACTTGGCCACCCGTACCCCCTCCGATATTCATATGTGACTTCTATAATTTTCTTATAGGTGTCCTGAGTACCAACAACAATGCGCTTGAATTACCATAAGTTGAAGACATTCTTCCAAAAGGATCTTTTGTGTCGGTGCTGTTATGTTTGCAGAAACATGTTTTTAATGCGTAATTATGCATAGAAATGTCAACAATGCCCATATTTGGGCATATATCAATATTAATGCGCAACCAGATTTTGCAACCGGTTTCAATTTGGTCAGTCAACGAACGCAATTTATTATTCATTTACACTTTAATATATATTTAAAATGGGAAGTAAATAAAATACCACACTCATTTTCGTTAGATACCATTTTTTACGGAACTCTCGCTCGGTCATATACCATAGAAGTCCAGTCGTTTCGTAAAAATGGTTTCTAACGAGAATGAGTGTGGTATTGTCTATTTACGCTCTAACCGTAACAATATCCTCTTGGCCACTGGACGCCGCCAGGTGTAGCGGTGTGTTCCCTTTCTGGTCCTCCGAGTTGATCCAGATGTGAGCGTGAAGCAGTCCCAGCAGCGACTGCAACAACGGTGATACGGTGACAACTACAGCAGTAACATCAACACATGTAACAACGGTGGAACGGCCATAATCACAAGAGTAACATCAACGACTGCAACCACGGTGATGCGGTTACAACCACAGCAGTAACATCAACGACTGCATCCACGGTGATGCGGTTACAATCACAACAGTAACATCAACGACTGTAACAAAGGTGATGCGGTTTATATTACGACCGTGATGCGATTACAACCACAACAGTAACAGCAGCGACTGTAACAAAGGTGATGCGGTTTATATTACGACCGTGATGCGGTTACAACCACAACAGTAACAGCAGCGACTGTAACAAAGGTGATGCGGTTTATATTACGACCGTGATGCGGTTACAACCACAACAGTAACAGCAGCGACTGTAACAATGGTGATGCAGTTAATATTACAACAGTCACATCAACAACCGTAACCACGGTGATGCGGTTACAACCGCAACGGTAACAGCAGCGACTGTAACCACGGTGATTTGGTTACAGCTACATTAGTAACATCAACAACTGTAACAAAGGTGATGCGGTTACAACCGCAACGGTAACAGCAGCGACTGTAACAACGGTGATGCAGTTAATATTACAACAGTCACATCAACAACCGTAACCACGGTGATGCGGTTACAACCGCAACGGTAACAGCAGCGACTGTAACCACGGTGATTTGGTTACAGCTACATTAGTAACATCAACAACTGTAACAAAGGTGATGCGGTTACAACCGCAACGGTAACAGCAGCGACTGTAACAACGGTGATGTGGTTACAACCACAACAGTAACAGCAGCGACTGTAACCACGGTGATTTGGTTACAGCTACATTAGTAACATCAACAACTGTAACAAAGGTGATGCGGTTACAACAACAGTAACAGCAGTGACTGTACCAGCGGTGGTGTGGTTACAACAGTAACAGCAGTGACTGGAACAACGGTGATGTGGTTACAACCACAACAGTAACAGCAGCGACTGTAACCACTGTGATGCGGTTACAGCTACAACAGTAACATCAACAACTGTAACAAAGGTGATGCGGTTACAACCCCAACAGTAACAGCAGCGACTGTAACAACGGTGATGTGGTTACAACCACAACAGTAACAGCAGCGACTGTAACCACTGTGATGCGGTTACAGCTACAACAGTAACATCAACGACTGTAACAACGGCGATGCGGTTACAGCCAGAGCAGTAACAACGACTGCAACCACTGTGGTGCGGTTACAGCAATATCAATAACATCAACGACTGCAACAAATACATTCACGCACAATAACTCAATACATAAATCAATCAGATATCACAAGAGTTAACGTGAGAAACAAGTATACAGTCTACCTCATATGGTGCTACTGGCGCACTTCCCCCTCTGCTGCCCCCATTCAGTGGCTACAACCAATCCAAAGGACATCAATCAGTTAAGTAAACTACGGTTATTACGAACTCAAAGTGACCACTAAGTTTAGTTCGTTATAACCGTGGTTCATTATAAGCATATAAAGCATATGTACAGCAAATGGTCGGGACAAAAGAAATAAGTTATATCCGTCAGTTCGTTATAAGCGTATTCGTTATAATCGTAGTTTACTGTAATGTGAAAATAACGGTCTAAACAATTGTAATGTCCGAAAACCGTGATTATCAAAGAGAAGCGAGGAGAGACTGATTGTCAGAGAAGTGTGTGCGTGAGGGCTGGGGTTATGGGTTGGTGGGTGGGTGGTGTGTGGGTGGGTGGGTGGGTGGTGGTGTGTGGGTGGTGGTGGGGGTCTGACCACCCGATCCATGCAATCGCCTCGTATAAGCATAGATCACTGGACATCTATTCTGACCCGGAATCTCCACTAGGGAGTGGATAGCAGGCTTTGCCAATGGAAGACTGAGGTGTCTGAAACTACAACAACTTGAACTGAACGCAGTTCCTGTCAAAAATACGTGGCAGACATTGTATCACTATGACTACGACACTATGCTTACGCGACAGTTACTGTGACAAGAGCACCAAGCGGTTAACAGCAGAATCCCATGTACCTGTACAGAGTTAGTTCCCTTGCTTTGTCGTCTGACGTTTCTCTCGTTCTGTGGATTGTGATGAAGCTGTAGTTTACTATATGAATCAGTGTGACTGTTGTACATATGACCCTCTTGATCTTATTCACTTTGGATGTACTGTATTGTAAATACACATGTCTATACATACCGCTAGGTTGCTTCCAGACTCCACACCGTTGTCTTGTGGTGTTTTGGCCGCGCGGCTCTTCCATCTTTTCACATCCACAACCATCTACAGAAGAGGACAAAATGTACTTCCTGACCAATCAAATCACCTTTTGGGCGGTCAAATATTCCTAACCTACTAAATATACGTCACCAGGAATGTTGGTGGAAAGTCAGCCTCGTGTTGAAGCTGGTAAAAGTGTTTAAGTAATTTACTTTTCTACCAACACTAACAGAGCAATGGTGAATCAGAGGTTTGAATTAAAATTGACTTTCACAATGTGTGAGTTTATTGGCGTATGAACCTTCTCCAATGAGTTCATTGGAGTATGAACTTTAACAGAGGAGCTCAAACGTCCACACAGTTGGCCCTGACTCTATGAAGGTTCATATTCCCAATAAACTCTGACAAAGCGAAAGTCAATTATTATGTTTTTATGTCACTATTTTATACCTCGAGGGATGTATTACACAATTGCTTGTAGTGCGTGTGACATGTTTACACTGACAGTCATTCAACAACCAACTGTAACGCGGAATAAAATAGATCATCAAAAGGAGAGGTAACATAAGCAGATGTATGCTCAACTTGCTCAACAGGAACATTTTTTGTAGTTTTGTTACAACAAATAGGTCCAAATATGGAAAAGGTCTCTCAAGTACTACCACAGTCAATCACTTTGACAGCGCGTAGTAAAACATAGGCATCAAATACGAGACGTCAAAATGGCCGACACTATGAGTCTGACGGCACAGATTTCCGAAGTTATTTATGAAACCGTGGCGATTACAAGTGTTAGTCATCATTGAACAGTTTGCCGATCATTGAAAGGCGATTATAATAATGTCTAAAATAGATACTAAGGTACATTTATACATTGCTGTGGACTGTCACTTGCCAATCTAGACACGGATTGAGTAGATAGTTGGATGCGCATTTCTTCGTTTTGTTCACTAGGACGGGGCGTAGTGAGGATATTCTTGAACGGACATTCGTTCAAACTCTCTGACCTATCCCAATGTATGCTAAAACGCAGTGTTCAAGATTAAAGAGTCGAAATGATCAGAATGAACGCTTTCGTAGGTATTCGTGCTAGGGAATTCTCAGGCGTTTCCCCGGGAATGTGGAAGTAGTCCCTCAGTGTTTACGTCATTTCAAGAATACAGTCTCGTGAAAAACGTGTGAACGTCAAAATGAAAAGTCAGTATCGCGGTCATGTGACCGACCTCTCGTCCAACAGAAAAACCGCATGTTGTGTAAACTTCACTTTAAAAATGATATAACAATTATTTCCTCTGGAAGGGAATCATCACTATAAATGGGAATATTTTATAATTATTTCCAAATTTCGGGTCTCTAGTAATAACATACACTGACAGTACATATGCCAGTGCCATCTAACGCGTTATGTTTCAAATCAATTTAGAGGTTTCAAATAAACGTCAAAAACTCAAAAAATAATAGCTCTAATCTAGAGGTGCTGCTTTTCAAATATATCACGATTCTCGACATCGAAATCGCTGACAGCATTCCTCACTCTCATCATCGTGAGATAAGAAGAGATATTTTCTAAGCTGCAGTTAATAAGATGCTCTATACGAAGTTCGTATCTGTATAAATACTGTGACTACCGTTACCTCTACAACAGTTTGATGCAAGTCCCAATGATTATTGTCTGACAGTCTGTTGGTTTGTTGTTTAAGTCACCGAACCTGACTATCCGATCCGCCCAGTCACCTCGTATAACAAGACTGTTTGGGAACAGTTCTAACCCAGAATCAAAGCGGCAAAATTACCGTGACAATATGCTGGAAGCGTTTCCCTGCGTCATCTTCATCAAGAGTCAAGACTCCGGGTGCTTCCTGAAATACATCATATAATTGAATAGGTAAGATGTATCCATAAACCTGTGTCTACCTTGTAATAGGTAAGATGTATCCATAAACTTGTGTCTACCTTGTGATAGGTAAGATGTATCCATAAACTTGTGTCTACCTTGTGATAGGTAAGATGTATCCATAAACTTGTGTCTACCTTGTAATAGGTAAGATGTATCCATAAACTTGTGTCTACCTTGTAATAGGTAAGATGTATCCATAAACTTGTGTCTACCTTGTAATAGGTAAGATGTATCCATAAACTTGTGTCTACCTTGTAATAGGTAAGATGTATCCGTAAACTTGTGTCTACCATGTAATAGGTAAGATGTATCCATAAACTTGTGTCTACCTTTTAATAGGTAAGATGTATCCATAAACTTGTGTCTACCTTGTAATAGGTAAGATATATCCATAAACTTGTGTCTACCTTGTAATAGGTAAGATGTATCCATAAACTTGTGTCTACCATGTAATAGGTAAGATGTATCCATAAACTTGTGTCTACCATGTAATAGGTAAGATGTATCCATAAACTTGTGTCTACCTTGTAATAGGTAAGATGTATCCTTAAACTTGTGTCTACCTTGTAATAGGTAAGATGTATCCATAAACTTGTGTCTACCTTGTAATAGGTAAGATGTATCCATAAACTTGTGTCTACCTTGTAATAGGTAAGATGTATCCATAAACTTGTGTCTACCTTGTAATAGGTAAGATGTATCCATAAACTTGTGTCTACCTTGTAATAGGTAAGATGTATCCATAAACTTGTGTCTACCTTGTAATAGGTAAGATGTATCCATAAACTTGTGTCTACCTTGTAATAGGTAAGATGTATCCATAAACTTGTGTCTACCTTGTAATAGGTAAGATGTATCCATAAACTTGTGTCTACCTTGTAATAGGTAAGATGTATCCATAAACTTGTGTCTTCCTTGCAATAGGTAAGATGTATCCATAAACTTGTGTCTACCTTGTAATAGGTAAGATGTATCCATAAACTTGTGTCTACCTTGCAATAGGTAAGATGTATCCATAAACTTGTGTCTACCTTGTAATAGGTAAGATGTGTCCATAAACTTGTGTCTACCTTGTAATAGGTAAGATGTATCCATAAACTTGTGTCTACCTTGTAATAGGTAAGATGTATCCATAAACTTGTGTCTTCCTTGCAATAGGTAAGATGTATCCATAAACTTGTGTCTACCTTGTAATAGGTAAGATGTATCCATAAACTTGTGTCTGCCTTGTAATAGGTAAGATGTATCCATAAACTTGTGTCTACCTTGTAATAGGTAAGATGTATCCATAAACTTGTGTCTACCTTGTAATAGGTAAGATGCCTTGAACATTTCCCCTCACCGGTGAAATTTTAGGTTTCTTCTTTCAATGTTGAGACCCGCATCAATTTGAGCGTTCCACATGCATGACGGGCCGTACAAGGGCGGACCGACATGTTCTGAGCCCCACATAGAAAGAATTGCGTAATATTGAAATCTTGTTGTGGGCATTACATGATGTCATAGGGGTATATCTGCACAAACTCCAGCCAACTGTGCAAATTCTTTCGCTGTGACAAGTTGGTTAGCAGAGATATGTGACCTTTAGAAAATGACCACCCTTGAGGAACATGCATTGATCAAGTACATAAAGAAAAAGGATCACCACCAAAAGTCAACCAAGAAGATATGAGTACTACACTAGGAAAAGATGTCCTTTCCCATTCTACCTTAGCGAGGTAGTCACAATACCTAAAGTCCCTATGATATGCTCCCCCTTCCACGCCATCTTACCTGAAGTCCCTCTGATATGCTCCCCCTTCCACGCCATCTTACCTAAAGTCCCTCTGATATGCTCCCCCTTCCACGTCACAATACCTGAAGTCCCTCTGATATGCTCCCCTTTCCATGTCACCATACCTGAAGTCCCTCTGATATGCTCCCCCTTCCACGTCACAATACCTAAAGTCCCTCTGATATTCTCCCCCTTCCACGTCACAATACCTAAAGTCCCTCTGATATGCTCCCCCTTCCACGTCACAATACCTAAAGTCCCTCTGATATGCTCCCCCTTCCACGCCGTCTTACCTAAAGTCCCTCTGATATTCTCCCCCTTCCACGTCACCATACCTGAAGTCCCTCTGATATGCTCCCCCTTCCACGTCACAATACCTAAAGTCCCTCTGATATGCTCCCCCTTCCACGTCACAATACCTGAAGTCCCTCTGATATGCTCCCCCTTCCACGCCGTCTTACCTGAAGTCCCTCTGATATGCTCCCCTTTCCATGTCACCATACCTGAAGTCCCTCTGATATGCTCCCCCTTCCTAGTCACAATACCTAAAGTCCCTCTGATATTCTCCCCCTTCCATGTCACCATACCTGAAGTCCCTCTGATATGCTCCCCCTTCCACGTCACCATACCTAAAGTCCCTCTGATATTCTCCCCCTTCCACGTCACCATACCTAAAGTCCCTCTGATATTCTCCCCCTTCCACGTCACCATACCTAAAGTCCCTCTGATATTTTCCCCCTTCCATGTCACCATACCTGAAGTCCCTCTGATATGCTCCCCCTTCCACGTCACAATACCTAAAGTCCCTCTGATATGCTCCCCCTTCCACGTCACAATACCTAAAGTCCCTCTGATATTCTCCCCCTTCGACGTCATCTTACCTGAAGTACCTCTGATATTCTCTTTATCAATCTTTCCTTTTCTTTGGTGTCTTTGACATCTACCAGAGTCTGCAGGAATAAATGGGAAACATGATTCAGTGTAGTTGTGACAGAAGGCTACATACTGTTGATCTCAAAACATTACTCATTCAGAGAGTAATGTTCAGCATCTGTGGTCAATTAGAAACGGGACAATATGTCGGTGAACATTTAACTCTGCATGCTTTTTCTACGACCTTAACCTACCTGTATCAGTTGTGCAGCCTTCTGTCGTGTAACGTCATTCACACCTGACTGTTTTTTAGAAGACAAAAGAATCTGGAAATGAAAGATCATTATGTATATTTTCTAGGTTTGCAAGATAACATCATTTATAATGTATTTATCAGAGACAATAAAACTGATATCCCACTCGAGTGCATTTACACAATGTTCCGGAACTTCTTCCAGTCTGCCTCAGTGACACCATGGTTTAGACAGCAACATCGTAAGAAAGACAATACAAAATAAATAGAACGTATGTCCTCTCTTGTCCTGAACATGTTAACATTTTACTCGAAGCTGTTCATTCGGTCATTCGATAAGATAAACATGCCATTTGACCAAAAAGCCACATAGTGTCTATAATTCCTCAGATTGGTTTCCTAAACACCGTAGCTCACCTGCAGTACTTCTGAAATTGATCCTATGATTTTCTCCTTCTCTTGTGGGTCTCCTGCACCGACCAAAGACTGCAGGAACAGAACATACATGGACGTGATGGTGGGAAGTGATACTTGTCTTTATATTTTATTTATATACACAACTCCTTTAACTTACGTTTTGGGGCTCCTTCCAACATTAAATGAAAACACGGTAATACATTTATTTATAACAATTCAAAATCTTTAAATGTTTCTTTAAAACCCCAACATACCTCCAGGAGTTCAACAATTTTCTTTTTCGTCTCAACGTCCACTTTCAGAGATTCGCTTGAATTGGTGGGATTAGAAGGCGTCAAAAGCACCTGAAATAAAATGTGGCATTTTTACATGTAATGCCCTTTCCATAATCATGAGAAATCTATTGCGCGATTCCAACTATATAATAAGCAAGTGTGTATGAATCACTTTCAAACAGTGGTGGTTCCCTAAGAACATTTATCTCCCCAAAACACAGTGAGAACAGTCTCTCCAAACTCCCTTGAGAATACATGTCTCTCAAAACTCCCTTGAGAAGATATGTCTCTCAAATCTCCCTAGAAAACACATGTCCTTCCAACCCCTCTCTAGAACACATGTCTCTCCAAACTCCTTTGTGAACACATGTCTCTCGTAACCCTCTAGTAACATGTCTCTCCATCCCCTCTAGAGAACACATGTCTCTCCATCCCCTCTAGAGAACACATTACTCTCCATCTCCTCTAGAGAACACATGTCTCTCCATCCCCTCTAGAGAACACATGTCTCTCCATCTCCTCTAAAGAACACATGTCTCTCCATCCCCTCTAGAGAACACATGTCTCTCCATCCCCTCTAGAGAACACATGTCTCTCCATCCCCTCTAGAGAACACATTACTCTCCATCTCCTCTAGAGAACACATGTCTCTCGCTCTCCTCTAGAGAACACATGTCTCTCCATCCCCTCTAAAGAACACATGTCTCTCCATCCCCTCTAGAGAACACATGTCAGTCCATCTACTCTAGAGAACACATGTCTCTCCATCCCCTCTAGAGAACACATGTCTCTCCATCTCCTCTTGAGAACACATGTCTCTCCATCTCCTCTAGAGAACACATGTCTCTTCATCCCCTCTAGAGAACACATGTCTCTCCATCTCCTCTAGAGAACACATGTCTCTCCATCTCCTCTAAGGAACACATGTCTCTCCAGAGAACACATGTCTCTCCAAACTCCCCTGAGAACACATGTCTTCCCGAACCCCAGTGATAACACATGTCTCTCGTAACCCTCTAGAGAACACATGTCTCAACTGTCTCATCAAAGTCCCCGATCCTCGACAAGTGCTCCGACAAGTTCGTCAATGTTAACCAGTGGTAGCGTAAGGCAGAGTCTACTGCCTACAAGTGCCACTTTACGTACGTTGAAGGTGTCCATGTGTCCGTGCTCTGCTGCAGCATGTAACGGTATCTGTCTCTGGACGTTGGTGGAGCTGATATCAGCCCCTCTATCCATCAGACTTCTCACCAACTTTGTGTGTCCATATCTGGCAGCTATATGGAGGGCCGTGTTCCCGTCCTTATCTTTTCGCCCGAGCGAGCCATCCCTTCAAATAATCAGTAACATTAGTATGTCTAAAAGTATACTCCACATTGTATGTAGCAGTTCAGACTATTAAGTTTGTACACGTTTAAAATTAGACTTTGATTATATACAAAATGAAACCCCTCCATCATCTGACAAGCATCAAATTAGACAATTGGATTCGAACGCCAACATAATAAACACAAACGCCACTGTTCCCATGATATCGAACTTCAGTTCAGGACAAGGGTTTTAGCGCTACGACAGACGTATGGCTATGTTAAAGAATCGGTTCCTGCAGTGGAAGTGTAAAGATCACTTCAGGGACAAGTCTCCGCTCACTTTTGTTGCAAGATGTAGTTGGCGACGTCGCAGCGGTTGTACTGGGCAGCGATGTGGAGTGCCGTGGAGTTGTGCCGGTTTGTCCTGTTGAAGTCCTCAGGTTGACTTGTCAGCTCCTCCACAATAGACAGTTTACCAGAGGCGGCCGCCAGGTGGACGGGCCACATACCGTCATTCCTCGCCTGTGTCAACTTGACATCTGTTGGGATGGAGTCAGTCAGGCGCATCATTCAACACTAGTTCCGTTTATTTTCGCCGATTTGAGCAGACGTTCAGTGACGTTGCCGCTACCAATTATTTCAAACCGACAGAGAGGTAGGACGTTTTTCCCGATGTGCGAGTGTAATGTCATAAGACCAAAAATATGTATATATTTTTCAAGTAGAATAAGAAAAGTAAAAAGTACATACCTATACCTTTGCTGAGCAAGATATTTGCTACTTTCTCGTGTCCGTTCTCTGCAGAAAGGTGGAGTGCCGTGTTTCCCTCTTTGTCCTTTTGGTTCACGAGCTGCTGGAAAATAGGTAGTCAGATGTGAGACGCCAGACCGCACACACGAAACAAGTAGTTTGGAAATAAATCAACTGGCACACGAGTTCGGAAAACTCCAATGGATATAAACATGTATTGTATAATCACTGTATTATCCATCAGGGTCGACATGACGTAACAATGATACGCTGTAACGTCATTGTGTTTGCGAAGTCATTAATCATGGCGTCCAAATGGTGTCTGTCATACTCTTGTACAATGGTATTTGCACTTTGTGAAAAATGTTGCATAGCCATTTTTTACATCTATGTTTCGTATGGATTAATATGAATTGATATGTATTAAGGAGATAAACGTACTGTTCGGTTCCAAATTCAAAATAGCACGGTTAATTCTACAGGTACCTATAGCTCTACATTGAAAACACAGTATGTTAATCTCCATTCTACTACGACTAAATTAAACGCGAACTCTTAAGTGTTCGCAAATATATTGAGTGAAGCGGCATGGGTTGAGTCCAGTGTTTTGAGTTGGCTGTCGATCTGAATTACGGTGATTTGAGGTGAAATTGGGTTTAACGTTGCGTCCAAGATTATTGCACTTAAATAGCGACGTGCATGCACGTGTGTGTGTGTGTGTGTGTGTGTGTGTGTGTGTGTGTGTGGCTGCTTGTACTAGTCCGGACTAATGCCGATTTATAGTGCTAGCCCACTGAGATACCATGCCGCAGTTTAACATGAATACCCCACTCAGGCACAGTATACTGACTCCGAGCCAACCAGTCCTTGTTTTAGCCCCTTAATGCCGAGCGCCAGACAGGGTAACAACAAGTACCATCTTTTAACGTCTTTTAGTATGACGCGGCCGGGGATCGAACCCCGGACCTTCCGCTCTCCGGGCGGACGCTCTACCACTAGACCACGGATCTGAATTACGGAATCACCGACAACACCACTAAGCCTTTGAACAAAATATGGCGCTCTGTATGCTCAAACAGTTTGTTTACACTGTAATACTTCACTCAAACATGTGACAAGCATTGAAAGCAACTTGGAAAGCTAACCTGAAGTAGACACCCCTGAAGAAAACTAATCAAGCTTTGCAAAACTTTCGTTCTTCGCCTCGCGTCATCATTATGACGTCATATCGCTCATTGTGACGCCAAAAATGTGCCTTAATGATATATACACACCAAAAAGAAGAAGTTAAGCACACCCTAATTTCATTATTGTTTGGCTCCAATATTTGTAAGTCATGAAAGATATAATTACGGGAATAATTATGTTTTCTCGAGATGATGTAATCAGTCATGCTCAAACTGGTGATGTACAGGACCGTCCCATATCCGGAAGACCTCCCGTGACGACACATCGCGAAGACAGGGACCTTCGTGTCATACGCCGAGAACCCTTTTTAACAAGTACTCGTCTGAAATAGCTGTGGTTGCCCAATCGTCGTTTCAGCACCAGAGCCGCCAGGAACTGGCTGAAACCAGCAGGACTGTGGGCTAGACGAGTCATAAAGCGTCCCTTGTTGAGAGATCACCAGAAAGCTCCTCGTTTAGCATGGTGTATTGCGCGACAGAACTGGAATCTGAGAACTTGGAGACGGATCCATTGCTCAGACGAAAGTCGCTTTCTGCTCCACGTCACTGATGGAAGAACGAGAGTTTGGAGGCACCGGAACACGGCCTACACCCCCAGGAATATTAAGCCGACTGCTGCATACGGCGGGGGCTCGGTATTGGGTGTATCTCTCATGATTGCAGGTTGGACTTTGTCACCATAAGGGGCAACTCAACAGGGGCTCAGTACATCCGAGACGTGTTGAGTCGTCGTTCCTCATTTTGTCAACCGCCCTCTTGCTACTCAACCTCAGTACATGGATGACAGTGCCAGGCCTCATCGTTCGCTTGCAGTCTTGGATTATATGAGGGCCAATGTAATAACTACTCTACCCTGGCCAGCAATGAGCCCAGATCTGAACCCCCTTGAACATGTTTGGGATATTCTTGGGCGGCGCATACAGGCAAGAGAGCCTCCTGTACAAGATTATTTGGGAGCAGCATTAAAACAGAAGTGGTTGTTGTTGACCCATCAACAGATCCAACGTCTGACTGGAGGCATGAGACGTAGGGTGGAATGTGTCATCCGGGCACGTGGCGGTTATACCCCCTACTGATCTGTTTCACGTGTCATGTCAAGTAGAGACTTTAAGGAACATTTTCACATGAAATATCAAATGTAACTCCTTTACCTTATCCTGCAGCTCCATACTTTTTTGAGGTATTGTCTAAGGTCAAAAACACTACCTGTATTACCATGACGTGTTTGTTAATCACAACTCCCAGCAACTGGTATACGATGACATGCATCTACCAAGTCAGCGAGCCTGACCACCCGATTCCGTTAGTCGCCTCTTACGACAAGCAGAGTCGCCTCTAACAAGCATGGGTTGCAGACATTACCAACAGTCCTGTAGCAGATATATAACTTTATCCTACTGTATTCATCATATGTCCATTTGTTACATTAAAAAGTTTCGTGTGCACCAAGAGAGGCCTCGTTCTACCTGCCCTGACAAATGACCTACTTCAGTGACATTTTCTGTCCTCTCCAGGAACAGGTTGGTCATGTCCAGGTTGCCGGCCGCGGCTGAATAGTGCAGGGGGGTGGAGTTGTCGCCGTCCAGGGACAGGCTGCTCGCATCTTTGTCCAGCAGGTACGTGGCTATCGTCACCTGACCATATTTAGCAGCTACGTGGAGAGGGGTCATGCCATGGCGGTCTGCACTCTGGAACACGTGACATGCCCTCGGTAATTCTGGGAGTTGTGACAGTACAGACAGTTCATCATGAGTTCTACCACATGGGGGATCTCAGGTTAGAGTAGGTCCCCAGCAATCTATGTTGTCGTGCTAGGCGTCATCGTACTGTGCAGATCATTGCTAATAATATTCACATGATTAATAAATAGAGGTTATCACGCGAATGTGTTTGGGGATGGTAAATATCCTGTATTAGGAATAAACACTATGTATTTAGCTCGCCAAGGCTCGCTAAATACAATGTTTATTCCTAATGCAGGATATTTACCATCCGTAAACACACAAGCGTGATAACCTCTTTATCATATAATGTCATTCTTTAATTCTGTGCTTGAAAATCGCTTTCACTCTCTCACAAACATTACCTAAACTTTGCGAGTTTTCCTGGAATGCGCGCATTAATATTTTTTACGTCACAGGGTAAGTGATGTGTCAGTCGGACAGTGACAGTAGCCAATGTAGTTCCAACTGAAATCTGTTTCTTACTCAGTGGCGAAGCAACATATACGCAAAACAACAATTGTTTCACTTGCATTTCGCGGCAATTCATCGGTCTGTGCGCTAGAGTAACTGCCCTTTGTCAAAGGGAAGCTACTCTAACCCTAGTCTATGAGACGTCACGGTCACGCTCAGACGTTGTTGACAGTCGACCTGTCCTGTCAAAACGTTAAAAAGTGTAGTCAGATGTACACACAGCGACAAAACGAAACAAGGTAACAATTCGAACATATTTCGGCCAAATCCAACTATTTTAATTTGTGGAGAAGGTTTCAAGCCGCAGAGGTCGACAAGCACAGATATGGCTACTGATCCCGCTTGGCTAGCTAGGTCTCGTGCCCTCGCAAAATTGTTTCGAAATTTATATCTCCAACGTTGCCAAAACTTATTAAATGCCTTAGCTACGTCACAGTTAGACACTGATTTTCATTATATTAGACTGATGGTTTGATAATGATAGCAATTTTCCCTGTAGTTTATCCAGATTCCCGATGGTTAATTCTGACTCGATCGCCGAATGACGAGGGCGACGCCATGTTTGTTCATAAACAGTGAATGTAGTCTCTACTTGACCTTTGATATTTGCATCTCTATCCGCATATGACCCCAACGGATATCGTTTTTATCCGTTGGCTTTATCCTGCCGAGAAACCTACCCATTATATGATAAATGGATAGACTATTTACATGCCGCCGTTACACAAGTAGAATATAGCTGAGTGCGGCGTTAAAAAACAAACAAATACAGCAAAACAGATCGGATACCATGATATCGTAGAAATCTTCGGACTGGTCTATTGGAACGAACATACTTCTCTGAAAGCTCCTATTTCTTCAAAACACTTTTTCACAAAATATGCAATGCAAAATGTTGCTGGGTCGTCCGGAAGGTAATTCAAAGAAGTGTTGTAAAATATTTTGGACAGAAAACATGACACAGAAGGATTAAAATAGGGTATAGTTAATTTCAGTCGGAGATATATGTAACATATTTACCTTCTCTTTCATCGTGAAGTAGTACACTGAGGACATGTGGGTTGTTATGAGTATCAATATAATGTAAAAACGAACTCGTTAGCTACATTTAACACACATCATATTAATTTACATAGTGTCATGGGAGATTCGATACCACCTGCCTACAAATCAGAATGTAGGACACATCATAGTGGAACCATACATTGCAGGGGTTGCTTCATGTCCTTGTGGGGATGTGTAAATAATGGAACAAGGACATCACTCTACATATTTTCTGGAATGTTACTCTACTCTACGTACATATATGAGTTTTTTCTTGTCATCTTGCCATTCTGCTGTCTTTTCATGTCTGCTGTCGGTGGCTGCGTTCGAGGTGTCGTCGTTGTCGTTCAGGAGTTCAACGGCGTGTTTGTTCCCGGACATGACGGCATAGTGCATGGGTGACTGTCCCCCGAGATCTCGGCTATACATCAGCAGCTTCTCCTCCCGCTTCTCCGCATCTTCCTCCAGGGTCAGCCTCTTGCGTCCGCTCTTCTTCCTCCATTTTCTTTTCTGTTCTTTGTCACTGTCTATGATGACTTTCAGGCAAGACCTCCCCTGTTTTGAAGCATGTTTGATATACAGTCTTTTCCCCTACCTTGTCGGGGACACAGGTGGCCCAGTCGTCTAAGGCGCCGCGATTAGCTGTGCAGAGTTGCGTCCCTTGGGCACGCCAGAAACCTATGATTGTGGGTTCGAATCCCAGTTCGCCCCGATTACGTTTCCAGGTTTGTCAGCACCATACCCTTGCTCGTGGGTTTCACCGAAGTGGTAAACGTCTGAGACTTGCATCACTTCGGGCTTTCCTCCCAAATTAAGCTGACACGCCGCGATATGACTGTAATACTGTTAAAAGCGGCGTTAAACCCAACTCACTCACTCACTCACCCTACCTTGTTCATCCCACAGAATATCTACCTCCCAGCTGTAGCACATGTCATATGCATAAACATACATATAAACTTGCTGTTTCTCAGCTTAAATGAAGAATGTCAAACTATCTCTTCCTCTCACGAATGTTCAAACTTCAAAATAGAAAATGGAACTTCTTTTTGATAGCTTGAGATGAGGGCATTGATACAGTTTAGAAAGTTTTATTTCTGTTTTACTTCAATGAACATTACAATGAACTATATCTCACCTCCTCGCCGCTGTCTCGATGGACGACGCTGCCGTCGATACAGATGCCGGGATTAATGTTCCCCCGGACAGTCTTGGCTGCATAGTGTGCCAGGGACAGACCCTCGCTGTCTCGCACCTGGCGGGCACTTTCTGATTAACACAATGAAGCAGATAAGAATAGCTTAGGGACTGATGTGATAATGCATCATGTCTCTTACACAAATCCCCAAACCTGCACAGAATATTTAATGGAAGGTTCCAGACAAGACTCTGCAATGTGGCAACACGATATTCAAACGTGTTAGACGTCCTGAGATAGACACTCGGGTCAAATGAGATCAGACATACTTCGGGCACCATCGAAGTCACTTCCTCGATTATCCAGTGTATCGTATCTCCATTCAAAAATTATAAAACCCTGGACCAACTGGCCACGATAATTATTCTTTGGAAAGTGACCTCGTCTTCTCCATCTATCTTATCACTAACTTCGCACAGGATTTCTCTCGCTCATGAGTGTAATATGATTGGACGGCTATTTATTCGAAATGAGTTCAAAACAAAGCTATAGAAGCGAATGGGCCCAGACTATGAATGATAATATAACGGAGACATACTACTGGATAAACGAGGATGTCAAAGACATATAACTCACTCGATGTCTCGCCTTGTTGATGTTTAATAATTCGAGTCAAAGGCTGAATAATACACATATACCTTATCTGTGCATCTATGCATGATCAACTAGTGAGTGAGTGAGTATGGTTTTACGCCGCTTTTAGCAATATTCCAGCAATATCACGGCGGGGGACACCATGTCGGGAATCGAACCCGGGTCTTCGGCGTGACGAGCGAACGCTTTAACCACTAGGCTACCCGACCGCCCCATGATCAACTAGATGATCATGACTATGCAAGGTATGCAGAACAAAGGTAACTGTTATGATGTTCCCTGTTGCGATTTCGGGATGTGCATGTCCCTTCAGCATAATATAACCCTACAGCGTGCACCGACACACATGCCGCCTATCACTGATATATCTGGTCTTGATTCGATGTCAATGCAACCGCGTTTCTATTTTGTGGTGTAATGGACATGTGGGTTGTGGTGGCTACAGTCGGAGATATATGTAACATATTTACCTGTTTTTTTCATGGTGAAGTAGTACATTAAGGACATGTGGGTTGTCATGGCTACAGTTGGAGATATATGTAACACATTAGCTGTTCTTCCATCGTGAAGTAGTACATTGAGGACATGTGGGTTGTGGTGGCTACAGTCGGAGATATATGTAACACATTTACCTGTTCTTTCATCGTGCAGTAGTACACTGAGGACATGTGGGTTGTCATGGCTACAGTCGGAGATATATGTAACACATTTACCTGTTCTTTCATCGTGAAGTAGTACACTAAGGACATGTGGCTTGTCCCAGATGACTGCACACTGCAAAGCTGTCAGGTTGTTTGAATCTCGAGTGTCGAAGTCCACGTAACTGTTCTCATGATTGTCAAGCACGGCATTCAGCTTCTTGTCGTCACCTTCTCTGGCGAGCTACAACATGAAAACTAACCTCTGTCATTTACCTTTGGAATGCCATACTCTCTAATCAGAGAAATATAAATACATTCTCATAATGTAAGGCTAGTCTGTGTACACACAATCATACAGCTTCATTTACTTTGCGAAAAATGAAACGCAAAAGTTCTTTTCTGCATGGGTTAAGTTTGATTTCTGTAGAAAAAAAAGGTCCTGCAGAAATTTGGTGAAAAGATGGAAACATCGCAAAAACATAACCATGTTAGAGCTACTAGAGGACAGGACAGCTTGATACTGTTACATCACTTTTCTGAAAGAACCACCATGGCCACCTCTACAACTACGGCAATACGAGGATTGCGTAGGACATCAGTCAAGACTGAAGAACCGTTTACGTGCTGAAGTTATTTGCGCTATGTGACCAGTTCGAGGTGTTTTGTTGACGGATATGTATCGTCGGCTGTGAGGTCACAGAGTATGGCCAAATCTGCGATGGAGAAAAGTCTGGTCTACTGACGAGTCACGTAATATGCCACGCCATGCGGATGGTAGACGTCGTTTTTGCAGGCTATCTAAAAAAAGCTAGCAGGAACTAACTGACCCCTCCAAAACAGAAACCGTTCGTACATTCCCCCCTCCAAAGAACATCCATCATTCAGCTTTCTTGGACTGTGCAGTTAATACAGAAAATTAATCGAATGTTATTCCGAATTTGCAACACCACGTAATGCCCTTTTACCAAAGATATTCCCTTCAATTGCTCTGAGGATTGCCAAACTGCATTTGATCAATTGAAACAGTCTTGTTCAGGCTCCTGTTGTGGCCTATTGTGACATGATAATGTCCTTTTACCAAAGATATTCCCTTCAATTGCTCTGAGGATTGCTAAACTGCATTTGATTAATTGAAACAGTCTTGTTCAGGCTCCTGTTGTGGCCTATTGTGACATGATAATGTCCTTTTACCAAAGATATTCCCTTCAATTGCTCTGAGGATTGCTAAACTGCACCTGATCAATTGAAACAGTCTTGTTCTGGCTCCTGTTGTGGCCTATTGTGACATGAAGCAACCAATCATTCTCACCACAGATGGGGATCGGTGATTGGTTATGTCTTATGTCAAGGGATGAGCTATAGCAAAGGGGGAGATCTCTTAATTCATATGAAAGGTACTGGACTGTAAGGGAACAACTGAGAATGTTTAACAGTAGTAGAGGCAGTCAAATCCAACCGCATTTATCCTGCCAGCCAACCCAAGCACATTACCAATCCATCAATGGGCCCTTGAACTGCAAAAGTACACCTGTTCCATTGCTGATAAACCCGGAAAAGCTAACACCATTGCTGATGCACTATCTTGGAAAACCTCTTGGTTCATTTTTTCTACGACTACCCATCCCAATCTGTCCACCTGTTGATACCATTGTAGGACAAATCTCCACTCCCTCTTCTCCTGACAACAATTGCAACGCCAATTTGCTGATGTCAAAGGCAAAGTCAATTTCCCCGAAAATGCTTCCCTTCAACAAGATGTCAATCAGAAGAAAAGGATCCGACACTCTGTTCATGACTATGAGATTGTGTACCTTTCCAGTTCTATCATCCTCGTGCTAGCAGGATAGAGGCATCTGATAAACTGATTCCTCAAATAGCCCTTCCCATGAGCCTTTGCACTGATGCTCTTAGCTCATACCTTTGATTCTAAAGCAGATGATGGTTACCTTGGCGCCGACAGGGTGTGAGGTTCTCGCAGACAAAGGTACTATTGGATGTTAATGATTACATCAGGACCCTCTTGCACAAAGCGATCTTAGCGCTAAGATGATCGTTACTTCCCTACTTTAACATAGACGTACGACAGTCTTAGCGCTAAGATCGCTTTGTGCAAGTGGGCCCTTGTCATGTCAGATATACCAAGTCTCCGCAGTTTCAAGCCATCACCAAAACGTACCCCTCCATCCATTGCTCATTACTGAGACAAACCAGCGGTATCACACCTGGAGTGAGTGAGTGAGTGAGTGAGTGAAGTTTTACGCCGCTTTTAGCAATATTCCAGCAATATCATGGCGGGGGACACCAGGAATGGGCTTCACACATTGTACCCATGTCGGGAATCGAACCCGGGTCTTCGGCGTGACGAGCGAACGCTTTAACCACTAGGCTACCCGACCGCCCCTTCCCACCTGGAGTTCCCCGGTTCCTTTGAAAGAAACGCCTGATGGAAACAAACACATTTGTCGCATCACAGATTCCTACATTCTGCATGACACCACGGGGACAGCCGACGGAGTTGTCTCCCTTTCACTTACTCTTTGGCTAGGAAAGGCAAGACAACATAATTTTATCAAAGAATTCTTCGAGTAAAACATGCAATTGAACATGTTACACAGATGTTGGATAACTCGAGAATTGCAAAAGGAGTGTCTGAAAGCGTAGCGGATTCTTACAAACGTTTGCACATCTGTTTTTCGATTCATACCTCAATGAACCGAAAAGAATACAGTCAATGTGTTATCTACAATAGTTTAATCAAAAACAGTTATAGAAATCAAAGCAGACAAACATGACGAGATAAATATTCCAGGTGTAGCAATACATAGCGTGGCGCAACATCAATCAGGTCATGGCTTAATTTATGCACATAACTTGACACGTCCTCAAAATCAGTTGCTGATAAACAGAGAGTAGTATCAAAACAAAGTTCAGAAGACCTGTCAATCATGGCAAGAGGCGAGAAGAACTGTTGTCGTCAGGCTGTAACAATCCGGAACAAATATGTCCGGGGGAAGGCGGCTGTTTCAAATGACAGTCAAACATTAGTTCCCTGAGAACGGGAAAACAGTTGGAAAAATGCTAGTTAGAAATGAAACCCGAAGACATGAAAGTTGTGGAACCAAGGCGAACGGGAAACAAACAGGCGAGCTAGCCCGCACGTTTGCTGTTTCATTCCTGCCAGATTCAAACATTAGTTCCCTGAGAACGGGATGACACAGTTGGAACAATGCGGGTTAGAAATAAAACCCAAAGACATGAAATTTGTGGAACCAAGGCGAGACAACAACTGTTACAGGCATCAAAGGGTGATATGGACCATAAATATGCATAACAAATCCTGTTCATGACGATACAGGTCAGCAGAATGGGAAGTCCCTCGACTGTAACAGAGGGGTTCCCCGATAATCGGTAATAAATAGTAGTCCGCTTCGGTGGGCGTGCTGAAATGTTTTACATTCACTGGGAAATGAATGCAATAACACGTAACTAATTCAGCTAGTCGACATGAGATATTGTGGAGCTTTGGTATCGGAACAAAATTAATGAAACAGAATAAGGCTTTACTTCGGAACATGGTTAAATATGGAATAAGATTTACGATAGAACATGGTAAATATCCAGGTATATATAGTGTTGGGTCTGTTGGGGTTTTCGTTTGCAGAGATTCAAAATTCCGAATCGAGGTGTTAAAGAAATGAAACCGATACGTATTAGAAATATGATTGGTTAAAGGACAACCTACCTTTTTATTTTATACATCTGCGTGAAAGACTGAGTTTTCTGAAGTTGTAAAAAGTGATATTTTCATTGCAGTGAACATAACACTTGATATTTCACTGCAGTGAACATAACACTTGATTTTTTCAGTGCAGTGAACATAACACTTTGACGGAACTATGGTCATACAAGAGTTACTTCCCTTTAATTGTCTCCCTTTGTCGTAAGTGTTGACGTACACAATTGTTGACGTTCTTTTTTCGTTAGTTCCACATTGACAAGGCAAAATAATGGCGGATGGTCATTTAGGGAGTTAATATCACTTCTAACCGTTGATTCATCGCTCGAAAGTGTTTCGTTATAAACAGTAAATCTCTCATTTACCTCGTCTTATCGAGACTTTTCGTTTCGCAAAGCGCCATTTTTGTTGAATGTATGATAAAGAATTATCGTGACCCTAAATATTTTTTGATATTTTTGTTTATAAACTAAGCGGCAAAGGAAAGTATAGGTTAGCAATTTGTAATTTTCCTCAAAACAGCGATAACTAGTGGAAAGTGGATATTAGGAATATGACTGCCCAGGAACAGGTACCAGGAACACCTCACCCGAACGCGCCACCTTTGACCAAAAAAATGGTGAAACAGGTTTCCCGCCTATGGCATAAACTGCACGTGCATGTTAGCTGTATAAATGCGTTCGACTGCAGGGTATAACCACGCGTGATGAAAGCACACAAAAGAAATGCCACGAATGTCACAGGAGCAGAGAGAGAGAGAGAGAGCCATGGTATGGCCGAAATAGGGGCAACACAGGTCCAAATTGCCAGAAGGTTTGGTTGTACACCATTGACAGTGACCAGGCTGATTCAACGGTACAGGCAGACAGCGAGGACACAGGACAGGCCTAGAACCGGACGACCCCGTGTTACAACACCACTGGAGTGAGTGAGTGAGTGAGTATGGTTTTACCCCGCTTTTAGCAAAATTCCAGCAATATCAAGGCAGAGGACACCAGAAATGGGCTTCACAAATTGTACCCATGTCGGGAATCGAACCCGGGTCTTTGGCGTTATGAGCGAACGCTTTAACCACTAGGCTACCCGACCGCCCCTAACACCACTGGAAGACGGTCAGATACGGCTCATTCACCTGCGAAACAGATTCGTAACGGCGACGGCAGAAACAGCGTTGGCACATCCCATTAGTCAACGTACAGTACTACGACGACTTCGTACTGCTGGAATCCGAGCGTATCGTCCTTTCTGAGGAATGGTACAGACTGCTCAACATCGACGCCTGAGACTGCGATTGGCGAGGCAGGTTCGACGCTGGCAAGTCAGAAATTGGCGTTGAGTGCTGTTCACTGATTTAAGTCGGTTTAACTTGTTTCGAAATGACGGCAGAGAACGAGTTTATCGACGCAGAGGGAAAGGTTTGGCTCCGGCGTGTATTCGAGAGGTCCGTCAATTCGGCGGGGGAGGTGTCATGGTGTGGGGCGGTATTTGTGGAGATCAGAAGACTGATTTGGTGATTATACAGGATTCCTGAACGGTGTGCAGTACAGAGACCAAGTGTTGAAGTAAGTTCTTACAAAACCAACAGCAGGCGACATTGTTTCAACACGACAATGCCAGGCCCCATACTGCAAGACTGACTCGGAACTTTCTAAACCAGCAGAACGTTGACGTTTTGCCCTGGCCTGCCCACTCACCCGATATGAATCCTATTGAACATCTGTGGGACCATCTTGACAGACAGATTAGAGCACGCCATCAGCCTTCCGTCAACAGATAAGAATTGCAGCAGGCCCTGAGAGACGAATGGCAACGGATTCCAGTCCACGTCATCAGAAGACTGACGTCATCGATGAGGCGGCGTATCACATCATGCATTGAAGCAGTTGGAGGTCATACACGCTATTGAAGGCAACTGTGAAATTTCTTACCCCATCATTGTTTACCTTGAGCTAACATTACCAGTGATTGCACAATTTCATTCAAACTGTAGTTGATCAATCAGTTGTTACCCACCCTAGAATATATTATAATTCACAACAAAACCATTTCTTGTCATGTTTTATCGATCATGGAACTCGACCTATACTTCCTTTTGCCGCCAAGTTTAATTTTTATAAGATTTCGCAAACACGAAACTACTTTTTAAGTCGCAAATACAAGGGGTGGTGAACCGTCCCCGTGTGTCAGATAGGGAGAATTAATGAGAGAAACTTGACACATGGAATATCCTCTATGGTATTGAGCAGTCAGTGTTCACTGTATGGTGAGTGAGACCATAATAAACTAATGTGACTGTCTTTGTATGAACGTATCTTTTTTTTAGCAGCACAAAGCTTGTCATTGCAGGGCGGTGAACACACTAAATACTCGTCTACAGGAGCGTAACGTCTTCATATAACCTGTTTGATCTGATACCAGTCGACAACAAACAACTGAAGCAGGTCAAGGCGGCATGACTGGTGTCAGTGTCACTGTGTTTTATCTCACTGTCGTAAAGTTCATAAAATGTGGTTGCTATTCCGTTCAAGAAATATCTTGACTGACACAAATAAATCAATTCATAGCAACACCCACATATGATGTTTTGAAGTATACTGAACCAAATTGAAAACTTCACAATCCTAAATTTTAACATTTTGACCAGTTATCATTGTGGGCCCTTATTGTGTATTAAAACAGTAATGGCCATGTAATGTCTTCAGATAACACCCGTTTTTGTGCAGGTGAATCGATAAAAATCATGTGCACAGCACTTTCGTGGCAAAAGTGGTTTTTCACGTGCAACTGGTCATGTTGCCATAATACCGCACGTGTTTTCTTCCATACTTGTTAGCAGTCATTAACAAATAAAAAAACACAAGAAAAAAACCAAAAAACCCACCGTTAATTAAAATCCTTCTTTGGACATTTATGATGAAAAATTACCTTCTCTGATACATTTGTCCGTTGTATATCATATATGGGATTACTTTTAAAAATGTGAAGTATTTAATTTGACTCAGTATATATGGATTCTTATAATTAAAAGCATGATTAGTTCGTGGCAGTCAAATATTGGCAGGATTTCATAAGAAATGTACACACATTTAGATAATAACCCATGAAATGATAGGATTTAAGGAAAGGTTACCTACCCATGGCGGAAAGACGTAGAAAAATATTAGTTTGAGTAGACACACTACCTCAAAGAATATGATATCATGAGCTAGGATGACGTTATGAACTATTTACTATCTTTTCAAGTATTAAAAAAAACATGGAACATAATTTGCTGCACACGATCAGAATAAAACAACAGTTAATGTTCACCGAGAAACACTGACGCAAGGCCGCCTATATCCGCGCCTCTATGGGTAACAGAGAACATACGAGCTACGAGGAGCAGGTAACTTTGAACGTTAATTCACGGACAGATAATCCGTTATTAAGAGTTGCGAAGAGCCTATTCTCTATATTACCCATAGATGCACGGACGTCACATTAAATCGTTATGACGTCATGAACAATGGAAGGCGACAAAAAGTATTTGCGACAATGCGTACATATTACATCAGGTTGATATGGATCTATTCGCAAACAATGGAATAATTGTCATAATGTTGAGTGAGAACTTCTGAAAATAACTTCAGCTATTTCCGTTCCCTTATGAGTAATTTATTTTTTACCAACGGCCCTTTGAAATACAAGAACTAGTTGTATTGACTCACAGTAGATCTTCGAGCATAAGCTTAAGAGTCATTACATAAGTACATCCCCGTGAAGATCCGGTCTAGAATTGTTCTTCAGCAACCCATCCTGGTACGTAAGAAGCGATTAACGGGATCGGGTGGTCAGGTGATTTGGTTGATGCATGTCATCGTATCCCAGTAGCATAGATCGATGCTCATTATCCATTTCTTTGCACATCTTAATAAAAGTCGCCATCGACCCATGAAGATCCGGGCTAGAATAGGTCTTCAGCAACCCATGCTTGCCATAAAAGGCGACTATGCTTGTGGTGAGAGGCGACTAACGGGATCGGGTGGTCAGGCTCACTGACTTGGTTGATGTATGTCGTGGTATCCCAATTGCATTGACCGATGCTCATTATGTCAATCACTGGATTGCCTGGTCCAGATTCGATTATTTACAGACAGCTGTTATATACCTGGACTATTGCTGAGTGAAACAACAAACAAACAAACAAACATAGCTGTAGAATCAACTTACGTTATGAAGTGTAAGTTTCTCCATGGTGCCGTGGAAGTCACCTGCAGCTGTAGCAGGTTGATAAGTGTCAACAAGGCGCTCGTGGTCCGATGTCAAACGTCATGTACAAATCACAGAGAGACAGGTTGAGAGGTTTTAACGAGACGCTCGTGGTCCGATTTGCAACGTCAAGTACATGTCACAGACAAACAGTGTGCACCATGGGTCGATATGTGTCGTGTCAGGAGTCTATTTCAGCAATGCACACCCTGGTCGGTAGTCCCCGTTACCTTAATCGCTGGTATGTGACTGTCTGCACAACGATCTTCCCCTAGATACCGGGTCTGTTATCCCGTTGTCATGTAACAAGATGACACATGCCGTTCTCTTCCTAGAAATGTATTGTTGGTGCCTATCGAGGTAATGTGCACAAATCAATAGCTGCACAGAGGGAAGGAACAGAAACAAAGTTATCGTAGCTTGATCATTTATTTTACTAAGTGACAATAACCTTTACCTCAACTGGCGGCCAAGTGAGGGACAAAGTGGCTAGCTGTGTATATGGAACAGTAAATGGTAATGTCTCAGGATGGTTTGCCTGAGTTTGTTTTGTAATAGGTTAGGTTTACATTGGGCCCTGTGGCAGAGCGGATGGTCCGGGTGGATCGGTCACGTTAAACTAAAAGACGTTAAAGATGGTACTTGTTGTTACCCTGTCTGGAGCTCAGCATTAAGGGGCTAAAACAAGCACTGGTCTGCTCAGAGTCAGTATATTGTGTCTGAGAGGGGTATTCATGTTCAACTGCGGTATTGTATCTCAGTGGGCTAGCACTATAAAAAAGGCATCATCAGTCCGGACTAGTACAAGCAGCCACACACACACACACACACACACACACACACACACACACACACACGGGTCCAGTCCTACTCAGTACCCACCCAACCCGAGTACCATGATGGCCCGAGATAGAAGAGGCGACTAACGGGATCAGGTGGTCAGGCTCACTGACTAGGTTGATGCAAATCATCGTATTACAATGAGTGGGGTGGTGGTGGTCAACTGCCCTCCCTGCCCCCCCCGGCTGGCTACGGCACTGACACGCCATGTTATGTTATTGGTCTACCATATAATATGCGGTTGATGGTAATGTCTCTGTTGTCACCTATATAATATGAATAATCGTCGAACGTGTATTGGTTTAAGCATATTACAAGTCCTCTTTGTTCAGCCGTTACCCAATCAAGGTGTTGATAAAAGTTTGCATGTTGCCACCACATTCTCAATGCCCCTCGCATAACATAAACTACTTACACACGGGTATATTTGTTTACTGTCAGTATTTACAAAGGGACATCGAAATTCACTGCAGCTCTTTAAATATGTATTTGCGTAATCATGTACATGCGTACATGTATTATATTTCATGAAGACTGTTCGTACTCGGCGTCTGACAGACAGCTGAGCAGACTTCGGGGTCTGCCGGTACGTGTTGCTTGCGTGATCGATTTCAACACTCCACACAACAATCGAAGCGCGACGTATTCTCGGTTAAGCTGACTTTTCTTAGAAACTGTTTATACAGTTTTCCTGGAAACTGCCTCTCTAAAAAATTGTCTCATGGGTATTGATTGATGCCACTGTCGCCTATATAGGACGGTTACACCACAACCCGCAAAACTCTACAAACAGCAGTAGTGTTGGGAAATAAGCCATTAATATTTATATATATTGTCAATACAAATAGAAGACGTTAGAAAATAAAAACAATCTCATTGAAATCAGGGTCCGGTTCCACAAATCGATCTTAGATGTAAATTGATCTTACGTTTTTGTTACGATCCACAAAGCAATCTTAAAAAAGAGTTGTAAGTTAAGATCAAAATGCTAAGTTGCTCCATCCCAACTTGTTAGTGATGTTAAATTGTTCCATAACAAAAAAAAAGACTTTTATTTGTTTGTTTTTGTTTGTTTGTTGTTTAACGCCACACTCAGCAATATTCCAGCCATATGACGGCGGTCTGTAAATAATCGAGTCTGTACCAGACAATCCAGTGATTGACATCATGAGCATCGGTCCATGCAAATGGGATACCACGACATACATCAACCAAGTCAGTGAGCCTGACCACCCGATCCCGTTAGTCGCCTCTGACCACAAGCATAGTCGCCTTTTATGGAAAGCATGGGTTGCTGAAGACCTATTCTACCCCGGATCTTCATGGATCGATGGCGACTTTTATTAAGATGTGCAAGGAAATGGATCGTGTCTTACACAATGAACGGGTGTTTAGAGACCGCGCCCGGCAAGTGGATACCTCAGCTGACGATGAACTATGTGCGCGCTATCGTATGCCACGCAACGCCCTCTAGAAGCAGTCTCTCATCTATATTACACAAGTAACACATTCCCTATCTCCAGAAACGAAGTTACTCCTAAGTTTGAGATATTTCAGCAAGGTGTTCTTAAAGGTGTTCAAGCAAGGTGTTTGTTCGCTGAGTTGGGCGACCTTCACGGGACTATGTAGTCCAGGATGTCACGGGTGGTTCACCCGACCATTTTGCGCTCCACAACATCAGTTTTGACATTTTACGTGATGTAAAGCATCGGGGCCATAGACGGAACACTTTGACAGATCAGGAGACCACCTGCCGATGAGGAAGCAGCATACGTGTGCCGAAAGGGCTTCCATGCCACTAATGTGCAAGCCATTTGCCATGCAAACTAGAGGTGAATCATGCAGTGACCCTCCCCCCCATATCACAGAATAAAAAGAACAAGCAAGTGTATAACAATGAAGACAAGTGTGGCGGTCAAGTCTTGGCCTATTTCTATTAATTTACTTCCTGTTTATATTAGATACGACTATCGCATTACACCTGTCAGTACACCCGCCCGTGATATCTATAAACCAATTGGTAATAAGCATTTTTTTAGAAGGGTACTTTTTTGGTTACTTAAAGATATCTTACGCGTTAAAGTCAAGCATAGTTTTTTAATACGGTTCATTGATTATAAGCACTGTTCATAATATTCAATAAAGGATTGACCTTTTTTTTAGTTATGCTACCATCACACCAAAGCAGTTCTATCTTGTTCTATCCCTAACAAATAGGCTGTGATCACGGTAGAACGCGTAGTTTGGCGTAAAATACGATGCTAGTTTGTTCATAAGCAGTCCTCAATACGTCTCGTTCTTATCTCGTTCTTGGCCAGTCTGCAGTCCGTTTGTATCCAGTTCAGATCGTGTAAAAGAGCCCGTTCACCTCATCCCGACAACGTTTCGAAGCAGTTCGAGCACGTCCGTAGCCGTTCTCAACCCGTTCTTAACCAGTTCAACCTCGTTCTACCTCGTTCACAATATGTCCAAGCAAGTTCTATCTTATTCTTAACCCGACCAACTCGTTCGCAGTACGTCCTCATGTCGTCCCAAGTGCGTGGGTATTCGCGTCTTGGCCCGTCCTGGCCCGACTCCTATGGATACCGAGCGCGTTGTAGCCAGTCTTCATTCGAGTTCAGGGCTCCGAGCTGTACACATCATGCCTCCAAAGAGAAGTCGATCCGGTCGGTGTGCACACGTACTGAAATTTATGTCCGACTGCACCACGTCGAACCACGTCCCTTGTAGGTTCGACGTACGGCAATTTCGTTCGTTACACGTCTTTCTCGTTTTAAGTACGTTGTCAATCCGACTAATTGCGGAACGGGATGGACGAGCCCGTCCGTGAAGTTCGTAAAAAGACTGTCAGTAGTTGCTACTACGTCCACTACGTTCATACGCAGTTGGAGCCCGTTCGACAACATTTTCACGAACGTATTGAGTTTGGTGTGATGGGGCTATTAGGTTCATTGAGGTATGAATCGAAAAAATACACAGGCAATACTTATAATTAAATTCGACAACGAAAACATGTTTTATCTACAATAGTTTAACCAAAGAAAGTCGTATATATCATAGCAGACAAAAATGCAGAGATTGATAAACATTCCAGGTGTAGGAATACATACTTTGGCGTGACATGATTCAGGTGATTGTTTAATTTATGCACCTAACATAACATGCCTACAAAGTAGCTTATGAACAGAGAGTAAGATCAAAACAATGTTCATAGGACCTGTCAATCATAGGACCGCCAAGAGGCGAGAAGAACTGCAACAGACAGACTGTTACTAATCGGAACAAGTATGTCCGGGAGAAGGCGGCTGTTTCAAATGACATGGTCAGTTACCGACATATTCAAACATTAGTTCCCTGACACAGTTGGAAAAATGCTATTTAGAAATGAAACCCGAAGATATGAAAATTGTGGAACCGAGGCGAGCGGGAAAAAAATCAGGCGAGCTCGCCCGCACGTTTGCTGTTTCATTTCTTCTCGGCCTTCGGCCTCAAAAGGTTGTTTGGACAATGAATATGAATGCTTTTCGCTAAATGTCCTGTGCATGACGATACAAGCAGAAAGGGAATTCCCTCGACTGTTATTTTGGTATTTCCCGACATTCCATAGTAATAAAAGTAGTCCGCTTCGGTGGGCGTGGCTTAGTTTTCTGCATTCACTTGGAAATGAATGCAATAACACGTGACCAGTTGAGCTAATCAGAATGCAGGAATTTCAATGAACACAACGATATATCAGCCTGGCAATGTTACACATCACATCACTTTAAAAATGATGTAACTACTTGTCCATAGTATACCTTTTATAACGTCAGTTTGTTGAAAACTTGTCATCTGGGCTTTGCTATTTCTATTTTCAGATTTACTAATGTTGCAAAATGGCCAGGGTCAGCACATGGTGCATCAATTCTAAGCAACACCTCCACTGGTTCAACTGGAATTGCCTGGATGGATTTCTTCTTTGAGACTCGGGTAAATGATGGTTTATGGCTTGTTGGTTTATGTGTATCACGAGGTATGTTGTGTCTAACAAATACTTTTCATGCAATTTTCTCATATGCTTACATGGTTCTTTTGGTGTTTAACTGGATATCACGGTACACCGACATTTCTGAGACTTCTGAGTTGCAGCCTTAGCTGTTTATTATATCCCCTCAACTACTTCTGTTTATATCCTCTAGTCTACTATGCTTTTATATCACAGAGGCTACTTTTGTTTATATCCCCCAAGATACTGTGCTGTTTGTATCACTGAGACAACTTTTGTTTATATCCCCGAGACTATGCTGTTTGTAACACTGAGGCTACTTTTGTTTATATACGCCAGACTACTATGCTGTTTATATCAACGAGGCTACTATGCTGTTTGTTTCCTCTAGGCCACTATGCTGTTTGTATCACTGAGACTACTTTTGTTCATATCCCCC